TCTCTCCCATGGGTGTTTCTCTCTCCCCCTCTCCCTTCCTCTCTGAAGTCAATAAAAATGTATTTTAAAAAACAGGCCAGTTTGTGCCATTTAAAATAATGATAATAATAATAATAATAATAATAATAAAACAGAGAAACTGAGCCCTAAAGAAGCGAGGTGAGTCGCCGACCAGAAGGCACACAAACACTGGGCAGCAGAGCAAGGCCAGCGCCAGGCCCTCTGGCCCCGCTGCCCCCACGACCCCCTGGACGCCGGACGGCCCCACCGGACGGCCCCCTGGACGGTGGACCGCCCCCCTGGGTGCCCTTAACCCGCCGCGCTGCCCCCAGGAACCAGAAGTCCGGACAGAGGAACGGAGAAGAGCTTCCAACCGAGACAAAGCCTGGGGTGGGGTGTCTTCACGAGGAGCTGGGCAGGGAGGGGAGTCCCCGGCCCGCCCGCCTAGCGAAGGGGGTTCGGGCCCCCCAAGTCTCTCAGCCTCAGGACGGGGCGGCCCCCAGCCCGCGTCTCCTCACTTTCTTCTCGCGGGCCTTCCTCTCTTCCCTCCGCCTCTCGAACTCCTCGAAGGAGATCTTCCCCTCCAGGTAGTCGATGAGCTCGGGGCTGAACCCCGACATGTCGGCCAGGCCCGGCAGGCAGCCCCGGAGCCGGAGAGAACCCAACGGGCAGCGCCTCCCCGCCCCGACCCCGCGCCGGACGCCGGGAGCCGGGAGCCGAGAGCCGACAGCAGGGACGCGGCGTCCGACCGGGAAACGGGCCCGGCCCGCGCCGCAGCCGCCGAGCTCGGGTTCCGGGAGCGCTTGGCCCCCCTCCTTCCGGACGGCGCCGGCGGACCTTCCCTTCCGGCGGGCTTTTCCGGAGGGACCTTCCGGCGGGACCCTCCTTGCACCCCGCCCTCGCCTGCGCCTGGTTCAAGTCTCCCGCTTATTATTAGGGGATTGGGGTGGGGGGAGGGGGGGAGGGAGACACAAAAAATCAGTGCCTTAAAGAGATTTCTCTCATTGGATCATTTTCCGAAATCCTGCATTAAGATGCTCCCAGCCTCCCTGGCCGGTGTGGCTCAGTGGATAGAGCGTCGGCCTGCGGACGTAAGGATCCTGGGTTCGAGTCCGATCAAGGGCGTGTACCTGGGTAACGGGCACATCCCCAGTGGGGCGTGTGCAGGAGGCGGCTGATCGATGTTTCTAACTCTCTATCCCTCTCCCTTCCTCTCTGTAAAAAAATCAATAAAATATTTTTAAAAATTAAAAAAAGGTAAACCCCTTAAAAAAAAAAGAAAAGAAAAAGATCCTCCCAATCTATTTCCTCTTCTGAATGTTTAATTTGATCTTCGCTGTAGTGATTCTTTTTTAATTGAACCATGTGCTCTGCCTCCAGCGTGTCCACCTTCTGGTTTTCCGGACGCGGAAAGCTAAACCCTCCAGTTTAGTTTAAACCCTGTCTCCTCCCGTCGGATGGGCGGTCCAGGGCCGCGCCCTCTTGCACAGACCCTCACACCTTCCTCTGGGCTCCGTCCCCTCCAGCCCTATCCCCGCCCGGCCCCCTGCAGTCCCATGCCTGGTGCATGCCCAGGCACTGTGGACACCCCTTTCCTGCAGGCCACCTGCAGGGCACGCACACCCTCAGGAAAATGATTCCTAAACACCGACGCCGCTATGCCCAGCGCCAGAGGCCCGCGGCGGGTCAGGAGCGGGGCCAGGGCTTGGAGCCTGGTCTGTCTGACTCCAACCCCACGCTTGGGATTAGAGGATGGGCTGCCTCCTCCACGGAACTGGTCTTCACCTCCTGCCGCCCCCTGGGCTTGGACTGTACCCCTCCTGGTGCGGAGTCCTCGGGGACTGAGCTGGGTGTGAAGGATGGGAGCTCGGCAGCCCACGGAGGTCACTGACGGGGATTCTCGCCTGGCTTTCTCCAGGCGGCCAGGGAACGGCACCCAGCGCAAGTGAGAATCTCCAGCCCCAACTGTCCCGGAAGAAAGGAGGGCATCACAGGAGGACCGACGGGCACCTGGTAAGCAGAGTGCTCTCCTGAGGTCAAGCGGGCCTAGACGCGCTTGTGTATTATGGGCTGCCTGGGATATGGGGGCAACAGTTGTGAAGCTACAGATTCACGTTGTGGGGAGCGGGGAGCAAGGGGTGCAAGGATAGTCTTTCTGCTACGAAACACCTGTATGACATGAACGTTCTGTGTTTCTGTTTTCCTTTCCTCCACTTCCCTGTGGCGTGTCCCCTGGTGAGTCAGAGGCACCCACAGTGCCTTGGATAAAGGGGAATGCCTATGGCAGCCATGAAAAGAGCAAGAAAAACTTTTTAGACGTGCAGACTCAATTTTTGAGAGTCAAATGGAAATTCGGAAGAAAGCAGACAACTGAATTTGTGCCATGACAACAGAGAGTACAGGGAGGGGATGACTCCATCCTTTCTCCTTGTCAAGGCGGGAGGCGGGGGACAGAATGGGGTGTGACCCTTCTGGGGAGACGATTTTCCATGGCTCTTGCACTTTTCTGTGAAAGCTGCGACAGTTCTCCTGCTGGGCTAGCTTTTCAAGGGTATTTGTTGCAAACACCCTTGAAAGAGAGAGATATTGACTCCCTCTGGGGCAGAAGGCAAGTTTGTTTTCCAACCTGTATAACAAAAATAAGGTTTCTCTCCGGGGCAAAGGCTGAGCTGTTTTGCTGGTGGCCTCCTTATAGGAGTGGGGGTTTCCTGAGTGTGGAGTTCCTCCTCTGTGCACAAACCCACTTGTGCACCCGCCTGGAGCCAGCGCCAGGGCCCAGATACCTGAGAGAGAAGAACAAAGGGGAACGGGAACCTCACGCTGCCTGCTACCCCAGAAGTCTCGGGTGTCTGCCAACATCTGTGAAACCGCAGCAGGGTAGCATGTAGCTTGCAAGTAAGGTAAAACCTCACACCCTTAGCAGTTCTTAACCTCCCTAGACCTGGGATAGGGGACAACAGGCCATGTCCTAGGGATGGGGAGCGGGGTGCTCATCGAAGAGGATCAGAGACGTGTTGAGAGATGGTCAAGGACCCCTGGAGGGCCGCGATCACTGCAGAACATTCATTTCCGCTGGCGGGAACACTACACGTCTGCTGTTTTCCTAGCAATGGCTCCCAGCCAGAGCGAGATCACTCCCCAGTGGGCTTTTATTTTATCTTATTTTTAATACATTTGTATTGATTTCAGAGAGGAAGGGAGAGGGAGAGAGAGATAGAAATATCAACGATGAGAGAGAATCACTGATCGGCTGCCTCCTGCACGCCGCCTATTGGGGATCAAGCCGGTAACCATGTGCCTTGACGGGGAGTTGAACCGTGACCTCCTGGTTCATAGGTCGATGCTCAACCACTGAGCCACGCCGGCCGGGCCCCCAGTGGGCTTTAAGAGATGTGTAGGGAGGTGTTGGTTGTCAACATAATAGGGCAGCCGTGGGGAGACTACTAACCTAGTGTCTGGGACCAGGTGTGCTCACTGGCCACACTCGGTGAAGACCCACTACCAGCAGCATCACCATTAAGACACCCCAGGCCGTGTGGAGAGCTGGCCTTCCACCAACAGCCACCTGCCGATTGTGAGGAATTTTCCAAAGGAGGCTGCGCCTGCCCTGAGACTTGGCAAGCTCGCAGTGGAAAGTCCTATGTGGATGCCCTTCCTTTTCAAAGGCCTTAAGTTGAGAAGCTTCCCTTTGTGGAGGTCATGACAACACCAACCAGGGGTGGCGAGAGGAGAGGGAAAAGCAGCCACGCGTACCTGGGTGGAGCTGGACTGGCTGGGACGCTCCCTGCCACTCCACCGTGGATCTTAACAGGCTAACAATTTATGCTCATCCATGATTACTTATATATTCTAAGTGGAAAAAATATTCTCGGCATTAACTAGAACCAGCTTCCGTTACTGTGTGGTCAGTAGCAGAAGAGCACACATTTATTTCAACTCAACCAGTATTTCTTGAACGCTGGCTACATGCGTGGCACTGTGCTAGGTACTGGAGATGTAAAACGGGGAAAACAGACACACACATTGCAGCAGAGCATGTTCACCCAGACACGGGATCTGCTCTTGCATAAATGCTCCCCGTGGAATTCAGTATCAGTCATCATGCACAGAAACGACCTTGGAATGTACAGACTCATGTTAGCAGGACACCGATGTTTGCTTCTAGTACCAGGTTCCTCTTGCAGGAACCACAGAAGAAATGATGCAGCTCTCCATACAGATACAGGAAAGGGAGTGACTCCCAATGAGGATCTGAGAGTCAGCATAACCTGCCCAAGGGGGAGGAGAGGAGAGGCTTGCTTGTCACCCACACCAGTTTCTATACCCGCCCCCCTTTTTAAATTGGTTCACAAGACAGAACAGGTTTCAAGAATCACTGATCGGCTGCCTCCTGCACGCCCCCTATTGGGGATCAAGCCGGTAACCATGTGCCTTTATTTTCTTTGACAACTCAATAAAACATCATCTGCCCACGGCATGGTGCGCCCATCACTCCAAGCAGACTCTTTCTCTCTACCGCCCCCCTTTGCCCACGTCCACCTACCCCACCCCAGTCCCTCCGGCCTTCTGCCCTCCCTTCTTGAGGGTGTGTGTGTGTGTGTGGGAGAGGCAGAGGCAGGCTAGGATACTTGGTGCAGCACAACATCCACCCGCTGAGCACAGTGGCAGAGAGCCTCTCCCAGGGACCCCAGCAATTCTAGAATCCCATGATCGTTTGCTTTCTATTTCAACTTAATTGTGGATATTTATCACTGATCTTCCTTGGTATGAAACTAGGACTGGGAGTTCTTTCAACAGCATGTGCTGAACATGCGAGTGTGTCTTCCTCCCAGAAAAAAGACCAATTTTAAACCCAAATCCCTAGTACATATAATGAACTAAAGTAAAAATGTGCAACATCCCTTTCAAATGAAAGTCTTGATTGTTAAAAGCAATATATACACATATAAGACAAGCTGAAAGGAAACGTAATGAAGTCATTTCTCTTGATTTTATGGTGTTTTGATAACTTGTAATTATATGCGGTGCTCTACATTGACATGTATGGTTATAAAGTGGAAAAAAACAGCAGAGTATGCACATAAGTCACATAGGTCCCAAAGGTCAAGCTGTTGATATGTAAATCTGAAAATACAGAATAAAACCATTACAAACTGACAAAAGTCGGGGGGAGGGGGAGTTTAACAATGACCATGATTGACTTTTTCTGATGAGCGGCTTCATCTGTGGTTTAAAAATAGCCAGATACCTGCAAGAACAAGAAAATGCTCTAATGAAACAGAAAATGAAGTCGGTACCATTAGCACAAAGACTCAAAGATCAACATCTTTCAGCAAAAAACTCTTTTCGTCCTCACTTTCTAATCAGCTGCCAGGAAAGGCGAGCTTATGATGGCGTCATCTCTGATCCAGATGCTTTGCTTCTTCCCCCACCAGTCATCCGAGTCCCATTATGTTACCATAGCACCCAGTAGGTGCTTTCTCCGGGCCCCGCCCCCAAGCAGCACCTCACTCCACGCTCACACGAAAGTATGTCTTTGATATTTTCTTTGACACGTTCTGTGAGTTAGAGGGTAGCACCTGCAATTTATAGGTGGAGACTGTAAGGCTTAAAGCAAACTGCATGCACTACTGTCTTCTACTGGAGGAGGCGCTGTGTATTAGTAACTGTCCTGTTTTAGCTTCTGAGGTTTCCTTAAACCAGCGGTCTGGTCGCCAACCTATGGGACCTCAGGGACGATCAGTGGTCCGCGGACCACCGGTTGGCGACCGCTGGCCTAGGGCCCACGTGTGAGAAACAGTTAAGGGGACGCCTCTTAACATCTTTCTGTTTATTCTATTTTATTTTCTCACGCAGGAGAGGTTTCAAGTGCATATACCACATGGTAAGTTGCATCTTCTTTTTAAAATAACATCATTATTTTTTTAAATCATCACATTTACAAGAATCGATAAGCAAAATCCTTTCACATGCACAATAAAATGCAACGGCGGCACCCTTCCTCACACTTTCATTCCTACCTGGTGGAAGAAGAGGAGGAGATTTTAATTACGATTTAGTTCCCTTTATTATAGGGAACAGAATCGTAATTATTCAGCCGCACAAAAAGCTACTAGACTAGAATCACAATGTAGCTCCCTGGAATGCACCAGACCTATTTTTTTAAATGATAGGTACTCATTTGGTAGGAATGCTACAGTAACAAGAATAATAAAATTCAAATATTAAACATAATATACTTCTAACCTTTTCCCTATGAGAAAAAAAAATCATCTTTAATATTTTACTTTATTTCCTCTAGGTGAGGATGTTCAAGATCAAATATATGCTTATTACTTTCTTCTAAAAGGAACTATTTTTAAACTTTACTTTCTATTTAATCCAACTGCACACTTTCACATATTTCTTTATGATTTTCCACACAACGCAGCTATCTGACCGGGTCTGGGAGAAAAGGATACAGGCAAAGTGTGTGGTATTCACTAGATGTAACCATCCTATTAAGAGTGATAGTCCTATCATTTTACTATATCTCTTCCTACAAAACTATGCTTAAAATGTCATAACTGTCATTCCTCCTTAAAACAGACACGAAATACTGAACCACATCCAAATATTACCAGAGATGAGTAGCTTCTAAACTACTAGTAAGCACGTATTTCTGTGGGGAAATAAAATCATTTTTCAAATAACTACTCTCCAAACCTCTTCATGAGCGAGTCGTCTGTCTGGGAGGAAGGGGCCTCTCACCTGCTCGCAGGAGAAGCCGTCAGCCTTCGAGGCCGCGGGGAAAGGGGTTTCTCCGCTCTTCGTACTCGGCAAAGGCAGAGGCGATGAGCTCTGACTGCACAGAGAGGGGTCTGGGGGTCTCATTTGTGGAGAAAGTATTTGGAAATCTTTCAAGGTCAAGACCTCTTCCCTTTAAATACGCCTGAAGGGTTCTGAAAAACTGGACAGAGAAAGAAAATGTTCCGTTGCCACATATAAATTAAATACCCAAAAGACTCAAAGGTGAATATTTCCCTCTGAATTGATTGGGGAGCTCACCTAGGAGGCAGGAGGTGGGAACTCAGGAGCAGAAGCACAAGCTTTGGCCACTTCTTCCCGCCCCGCCCTGTGCCCCACCCCAGGCCCCATCCCGCCTCCTCTCTGACATTTCAGCCCCACAGGAGCTCACTCGCCGTTCCTGGTGGGAATCCCGCGAGGAACAGCAATGACTTAGCAGCACCCGTCAGAGGGCCTTGTGAGCCACCTCTGCATACCAAGGTCAGAGGTCACATTGAACCCACGGCCTGGTGCCGCCTCTCTGACTGAAAACAGGACCCCGGTCATCGTCTTCTGAAACCATTTCTGTCCGACATGGACTTTTCAGCTTTCCTTCAGGAAGTGGATAAAGGCAGAGAAGCTGTGCACAGCGCCATTGGCTTGTTTTAATCCTATGTTGTTATCTTTCACATCCGTGTGCACAGACCACTTACACAGGCATGTGCTCTGTGTGCTCACAGAAGCAGGTGTAGATCGGCTGCAGGAGCAATGGGAGGCCAGCTCTCGGGCCAGCAGAGCGCTGGTCTGGGCCCGGGGGCCTCCTCCCAGCCCGGGGCCCCCCTCCCAGCCCGGGGCCTCCCTCCCAGCCCGGGCAGCCTTCTGTGCACTGTGTTCTGGCGGAGTTCAGCGCACGCAGATCCCGAGACACAGCCATCACACCGCAGCCCAGCACAGCCAGGCGCGTGCTTCCAGGTCTCGGTTTCTGGGGTTGCTGAGTGGCTTCCATGTGTCTTGGTTTCTCAGTGTGGCTCCCATGCACAGGCCCGAGGAGCACCAGGGCCGCAGACAGCAGCAGGAACGCTTTGGGCATGGTGGACTGCGGCTGAGGGAGAGGAAGGATGAGGGGAAATGCAATGGTCACACTGAGGGAGGGAGGGAGGGAGGGAGGGAGGGAGGGAAGGTGGGAGGTAGAGGGGGAAGGAAGGAAGGAAGGAGGGAGAGAGAGAGAACAAATGCAGAATAAAAAAAGAGCCATTTTTAAAGGGAGATGAGGAAGAAGAAGTAGCATCCTGGTCCACCTGAATTTTACAGCCCTCTTCTCCAGATTCATTTGCAAATAAGAATTCCAAACCCAGTTGATGAGCTTAGGGGGGTCCACGAAAGTTAGAACATTGTACAATGATAAGCAAAGTGATGATGAGCACAACCTCCCAAGTCTGAGTAGACCATTTTATCTTTTTAAAAAATGCACCTTGATATCTCCCAAAAAAAAAGTGAAATCTTACACAACAAACAAAAAAGCACCCCAAACCCATCTTAAAAACCCCGAAACTGAGCAATGCACTTTCCACACAGCAGCTTCACACCACACCAGGTAAGTAAAGCTGGTCTCCCACCCCGAGGAGGGCAGTGGAAAGGAACCCCAGAGAAAGGGCTAAGACAGCTTACCGGGAGTCCGGCTCGGCTGGCCTGGTTGCTTACGCCGCCTACAGCCCACAGGGGATCTGTGGCTGCTTATAACCGGGGTTGGCTGAGGGTGGGGGTCACTGACGTGAGCAAGGGGAGTTCAAACACAATGATTCCATTTTCATCCACAGCACAAACACCCTTGAGAACCACATCTTCAAACTTCTTCAGGGATAAACAACTTGTCTTATAAATAGAACCACCACTGGCCATTTTGCGTGGCTTTTATAACACAGGGCACTTCCAAACAGCCAATGGCCTCTGCCTTTTATACTTGCCAGAGAAGGTGTATCATCCTGGGAGTATGACGATGACTAGCCCACCTAATAGGATGCTCTTCTGCAGATAGCAGCTTTGGAAATTGAGAGCATTTTTTTTCTTTACACAGAACATTCTAGTGCAAGGGACAAAATTGCTCTTCATGAACGACACCTCATATCTCTTCTGAGAACCTCAGGAATCTTTACACGTTTTAAACAGTGGCCTGGTTTCTCATAATATCCCCCTCAAAATAGACTACAAGATAGCATGTGTTGCATGGGAAAAAGAAAAATGACCATATTTACAGCACTGTCCTGCTGAATAAACGTAATCATAGGAAATGCGAGGGCTGAGAAATTGGACGTGATGGGCTGGGAAGTTGCTTGGTCCCCGTGATGCAGGACATCCCGGACAAGCTCCCTGCTGAGAAGGCTGGTGATCTGAGCTGAAAACCAGAGTTCCTGGCTATTTCTCATCTTGACCTTGGGCAAGTCTCTATGACCTTCATTTGTTTACGTCTTCGTTTGTTCGTTCAACAAATTTTTATCGCACTGCCCAAGGCTTTGAGGATAAAATGTTAAGAATAATAAACATAGGTACTGCCCTCTTGGAACTAGCACAGCCGTGGGCAAACTACAGCCCGCAGGCTGGCACAGCCGTGGGCAAACTACAGCCCGCAGGCTGGATCTGGCCCGTTTTGAAATGAATAAAACTAAAAAAAAAAAAAAGACCGTACCCTTTTATGTAATGATGTTTACTTTGAATTTATATTAGTTCACACAAACACTCCATCCATGCTTTTGTTCCGGCCCTCCGGTCCAGTTTAAGAACCCATTGTGGCCCTTGAGTCAAAAAGTTTGCCCACCCCTGAACTAGCATGTTAGTGGGCAAGACAGACATGAACCACATCATTATTTAACAAAATACAAAGGGCGCTGATTTCTACGAGGAGGAACTGGGTGCTGAGAGAGTGGAACAGGGAGATCTCGGAAGGCCGCCGAGATAAAGTGACCTGACATCTGGCAGCAGCAGTTACCTAGGCAACCGAGGGTGCACAGAGGGAGAAGAGCGTCACACAAGGTGAACAGCTGCGCTGGAGCCTGAGGCTGAACGTGAGTGAGGCCCTGGCCAGGTGGCTGCATTGGTTGGAGTGTCCTCACCAGAAGGGTGGCTTCTATTCCCAGAAAGTCAGCGAGGAAGCGGGGAGCAGAGGGCGCCAGGTGAGGTGGGTTCAAGCCGGAGCTAAGAGGTAGGCAGAGTGTGATTTGTCTGCTGCAGGCCGTGGCAAGTCACTGAAAGGTTTCAGCAGCCAAGTTGCTTGATGAGACTTGCATTTTCCTAAGGTCATTGTGGTTGCAGTGGGGGAGAGAGACGAGGTAGAGAAGGGGGAGGAGGGGGACCAGGCAGGATGAGGTGTTAAACTGGATGAGGAGGGGAGCATGGATGCAGAGATGTGGGTGTACCTGAGAGAGAAAAGAAGGTGTTGCTAACGTACTGGGCACTAGAGGAGGCAGAACTAAGAGGAAGAGAGTGTCAAAACCACCTCTAGGTCTCAGGATCAGTGAACTCAGTCCCACTCCCTGAGACAGCAAACACGGGCCTGGGTGGGTGAAGGTCATGAGCTCCCTCCGGACGGATGTGTTGTATTTGAGGAGCCACGTGGGGATGGAGATACACAGTTGGATACACAGCCTGGAGCTCAGACGGGAGGTCTGGGAAGGAAATGTCAATATGGGAGTTATTGGCATATAAATGGATAAGATTTCTTCAATAAAAGTTAGAAAATGAGAAGAAAAGGTGGTCTAGGGCTTGAGCTTTGAGAAGTGTTAGCAGGTCACAGCCATCTGTAGGAATCTCTGTGAGGGAGACCCTGGAGGCAGAGGAAAACCAGGAGACTGACAGCAAGGGAAGCAAGTGTGTCGAGAAGGGGCAGATGGAGTAAAAGGAGGACTCGGAGGGTCCCGGGAGCATCAGACGGCTGTGGTGGGTGGAGGGGAAGGTCAGATTAGAAGTGAGTGGATGGACAAGAGAGAGAGACAGCGAGTACATCAAGCTCCCGAGAAGTTCAGCCGTGGGGAGACGGTGGGAGAAGTTCAGCCGTGGGGAGACGGTGGGAGAAGGTCAGCCATGGGGAGACGGGTGGAGAGAGACGGCAGTAACCAGAGGGGAAATGGAGTCCAGGGAAGGTGCTGTTGTCATTGTTTTTAACGGGAGAGACTTGAGTTTAAATGTCAGTGATTACGTGAGTAAATGAATATCCTGGAATTTCATTATATCATCTGTCCTGAAAACTCCAGGGCTTTGAAGTTAAAACAACTAATGATACTGAAGTATTAAGTTATTAATGAGATTATAGCCAAGTCACAACACTGTGAGTCCTTAGACCAGGGGTGGGCAACCTTTTTGTGAGTGCGTGCCAAAACCAGCAAAATCTCTGACTCAAAATTCTTCTGCGTGCCAACCCTAATTTTTGGAGAACATGTTACGCCTACTTGATATCTCTTAAGGTGTACATATGTGAAGAACCTTGAAGAAATAATAAAATTAATTCGAGCGACAAAAACACAGTATATGATGATGAAAATTACATTTATTTTTTAATGTATACATGTACACTGATAGTCCGACAGAAAACTTCATGACTCCGTTTGATATTATCAGTGGGACTTTTGCTGCTGCATCACTGATGACAGAGATTTTACATCAGGTTTATATTTCGTGACCTTCAGAGATATGCACAAGCTACTACTTTCATCCATCAGGCTACTCCTATTACGAGACATAACAAAATTCATCACTGAGAACAAAGATTCACAAGCGTATGTGGATGAAAACATGGAGAGTAACACTGTTGCAAAGTTTTTTAAACAGAAAAAATTTTCTGGAATGGCATTCCAAGTCTTCAATAGTTCGTTTTTGACACTTCTCTCTGGTACTCCTGTCTCTAATTGCTTTTTTTCAATGTTTTCCAAGTCAACTCTAAGGTCAATAAATTTCTGCTTCCAAATTGAGCTACTCTGAAATTCAATCAACTGCATTTCAAAGTCAGCCATGTCTATCCATGAAAACATTTGTAAGTTTAGTTCCTCCAGTTTCATGCTGTCTGGAAACCTCATGAATTTTGCTGTCACTTCCAGTTCTCTGAATTTCACAAATCTTGAGAAGAACTGCTCAATAGTTGACTCAATGATGTTTACAAACAGCTTTTGAAGGCTTTGACAGTCTGTTCTGTCATCTTTTGGGTGGTCTTTGATGTGCCTCTTGAGGTTTGGGAAATACCTAAATCTCTCACCATCCACATCCCTCTTAAAGACTTCCAGTTTCTTTTTAAAAGCCTTTATGTAACCAAATATAACATCAAGTGTCTTGCCAGTTCCTTGTAATTTAACATTTAAGTCATTCAAATGTTCACAAAAATTGTAAATGGAAGATTATAAGAGAGGGTGCCAGCAAAAGTTACTGGTGAGCCATGTTTGGCACGTGTGCCAGGGGTTGCCCACCCTTGCCTTAGATCATGTTCCCTCCTCACATTCCCAGTGAAAGGAGAGGAGAGGAAGAATTCTTTCCAAGTAAAAAGCAGACCTCCTCATCCTGGCTGGTGTTGCTCAGTGGTTACAGTACTGGCCTGCGCACTTAAGGGTTGCAGGTTCAATTCCTGGTCAAGGACACCTACCTGGGCTGCAAGTTCATTCCCCTGGCCAGGGTCAGGGCACATGTGGGAGGCAACCAATTGATGTGTCTTTCTCACATCGATGTTTCTCTCTCTCTTCCCCTCCCTCCCTCCCTTCCACTCTCTAAAAATCAGTGGAAAAATATCCTTGGATGAAAAAAAAAAAAAAAGCAGACCTCCTCTTGTTCCTTCCTCCTGGAATGGAAATACCAGGCAGCCACCACTATGCTATGAGAGATGCACTGTGGGTGGAGAACTAATGAGAGAAGAACTTGGGTTCTTGATGACTTCATGGAGTCCTGTTCTGGACTATTTCACTGGTTAAGGAACTGTTGTCAGGTTTCCTATTTCATGCAAATAAGTCCTAACTAAACAGCCTGTGTAGGGAGATCAGTGCCTTTGAAAAACAGGAGAGAAGGTGGGAAAAGTAGGTCAAACAGTCAAGAAGTTTTAACTCTCTATACCCTATATAGAACACTAGAGGCCCGGTGCACAAGATTCGTGCACTAGGGTGGCCCTCAGCCCAGCCTGTGCCCTCTCGCAGTCTGGGAGCCATCAGTCGGACATCCTTAGCACTGCCACAGAGGCGGGAGAGGCTCCTGCCACTGCCGCTGCACTCGCCAGCCGTGAGCCCAGCTTCTGGGCTTCTGGCTGAGTAGCGCTACCCTTGTGGGAACGTACTAACCACCAGGGGCCAGCTCCTGCATTGAGCGTTTGCCCCGGGTGGTCAATGTGCATCATAGCAACCGGTCATTCTGTCACTTGGTCAATTTGAATATTACCCATTTATTATATAGAACTAGAGGCCCGGTGCACAAAAATTTGTGCACTGGGGGGTGGGGGGGGGGGGTCCTTCAGCCCCGGCCTGTGCCCTCTTGCAGTCTGGGACCCCTCGGAGGATGTCCACCTGCTGGCTTAAGGCCGCTCCCTGGGGGATCGGGCCCAAGCTGGCAGTCAGACATCACTCTGGCAGCTCGGCAGCCCTCAGGGAATGTCCACTTGCCAGTGGAGAAGAGGCCTAAACTGCAATCGGACATCCTTAGTGCTGCTGAGGAGGCGGGAGATGCTCCCACCACCACCGCTGTACTGGCAGCCGTCAACCTGGCTTGTGGGCTGAGCAGAGCTCCCGCTGTGGGAGCGCACTGACCAGCAGGGGGCAGCTCCTGCA